TGCTGACACCGGCAGGTGACGTGTGAGTCGGGTCATGAGGCGAGGCTGCACACGTTCACGGCGGTGTACCCGGGCGCCGAGGGCGATACCGGCCTCGCGGTCACGCTCTCCGTCCGGGGCCGGGTTGGCCCAGACCAGGGCCTCTGCGCCGGTGGAGGCGGCCCCCGCGGCACCCCTGCTGACCTCAGGTGAGCGCTGAGATTGGCCACGCCGGCCAGTCGGCGCCAGAGACGCAGCCGACACTTTAAAAAGAGAGAGACTTCCATGAGAATTAGCAAAGCGCGGTGTCAACGTTTTGAGCACAAAATTTGCACGCCGCAGCTGCGTTTTTTCACGCGCACCATGGTTTCTCTGAAAGTCATGGTCGGGTGCATATGGGTGTTAGCACGTGGCCCCCAGTTGGAGGATCTTTTGCACCTACAAACTTGATTTAGGAGTCAGATACAGTAATCACGCGTCGTTCTCAAACGATTTAGTTGAGCAGGGATATATTACATACAAATATCACAAACAAATGTGATGTATTATATTGAGGCCGTGGTGAAATTTTGGCGCCGCCACACGTAATTAATCCTTTCTCGGTTTTCAATCGACCATCATGGACCAGTTTTTGACATTGCTGATGACGCAAAAAGCTTATACTGGCACTTCCGTTACGATTTAGCTGCACATTGACGCGTGCAAGTGTCGATTTGTGATGTCAAAACCAAACCCTAGTTTGTCTTCATTGAGAATCCCATCTTTTAAGCCTGGAACGTCCTAGACGTATGGTGCAGGCTGGGTGTGTTTTGTTCCCAGAAATATCGCGAATTTCAACACGTATAGCCGCAACACTTCCACGGTGCGCGGCGTACAACTCAGAGACGCCTGTCGTTTTGTCGCTCTCAGCATGCCTCCTCCCGTGCAGGATATCGGCTGAGGGTGGCGGACGGTCGGCGGCCTCCTCTGATGACCCGCCGCGCTCGCCGGGCTGCCTGTGCCAGCGCGGGGCCTGCGTCCGACCCCCGCCAGTCGTCCGCTCCCTGCTGCCGACCCGGGACGTGACGTCATCACTCCTGGAGCGGAGCCCGGCGCCCCGGACGAACGTGACGTCATCGCTGCCGGGGTGGAGCGTGGTGCCCCAGCAGGAGCTGCCATCCTCACTCCTGGAGGGTATCGTCAGAGCCAGGAGAGCCGTACGCACGAGAGCGCCGGCTGAAGGTGGCACGCCTGGAGAGCCGCGCCGGGTTACCAGGCGGCGGCGCGACCTGCCGACGCAGGACAACCTGCCGGAGCTGCCGTTCGACGACCTCTCCGACCACCTGTTCCGCCAGGGGCTGGCGCCAGACCCGACCTCCGAGGCGGAGGTGGCCTCCGAGCGCGTGCCAGAGCTGGCAGACGCCGAGCAGCCGGCGGCACCAGCTGACTGCCGGGGGGTCGTGGCTCGCTCGCAGATGGTGGCCGTCTGCGGGCTCTACCTGACGCCTGGGTTCATCGACACGCTGACGGATATCTGCGCCGCGGGTGAGCACTGCCGTGGCGAGGTCGTGGGCCGTGGTGCTCGGGCCAGACTTGAAGTTTTTGATTTAATGTGAATTGGCGCACAACCACTCACGTTACCTGTAATGTGGAATCGGAGATCCGATGAGAGCAGATGCTAGAAAACAAATGGCATTAAATAAGCCAGCAGGGAACTTTGAACGTCTGTGCTATGAATATGTGCGTATATGTGTAGGCATTTATGTATTCTAAGATTCCTTGATACCATGACTTTTCCGGATTTGTGTCCAGCACATCACGGTACAACATTACCGGAGCTGTTATTTGATAATGTTACGCATCTTCAGTTGCTATCAAAAACCTTAAAAGCACGATTTGCGCAACCGAAAATGCCGACAAGATGTGAAGATAAAGACGAAGCACGAATATAAATGTGCATCAGGCGCAAGCTTACTGCACGTCAAGTCTCCACCCAGCTGTCCTCATCACTGAGAGCACTTTTAAGGGCAGGTGGTGAGCGTCTCTCAGCCGCGCCGACCGGCAGCTGGCTCCAATGGGACCGCGCCCGGTGGCAGCGAGCCCTCTGCGAACGTGCTAACCGGCATGTTCACAGCTCCAGCCGGCCTGCGTCGGCGAGTGGCACGGAGGAATACCGGAGACCTGGGGCGGACCTGTGGCGTGGTGCGGGGCCCAATCCGACGCCGCAAAGCCTTCGGTACTTCGGTCATGCCCGGCGCTTCGATTCTCCGCTGTATTTGGCTCGATCCCAGACCCGGACTACCCGACTGATCCTGTCCCGACGCCGCATCCCCGGCACAAAGAACTATGGCAGCAACACATCGAACTCTTTTGCTCTCGCACAGGATATTTGTGGCGGCACTTCCCCATACTAAACGACGATGCACATGAGGGAATGGGCGGGTTTCGGCGTGAAATTTCGAGATATTCCGGGTGAAGTGAGCCCACAGGTGACAGAGGGACATTGGCAATCCATTGTACCTCTTGACCACTTCACTGACGTAAATTCATGGGTAGCCACGTCATTGGTGAGGTGCAAGGACAGCCAAACAACGCTTCGTTTCGCTCAGAGGCACGCCGTTGACGCCGACTGCGCCCGACTGCATCCGAGGCGTTCGTATCTCTGCTGTTGTGACCCAGCTCAGCTCCGGGGACGGGATCGGACGCGGCTGGAACGCGACGATCGCAGGTCCGACGCTGGGCTGTCCCGTCGCCATGTCACCCGGCGGTGGCGGCGGCGTCGCCACACCGCTCAACTCGGCTGCGATGTTTCAGCCGACTGAGGCGAAGAAGTCGTGGAAGGAGCAGAGCCTGTTGTGAAGACCCCGAGCCTCTTCGGGTGCGGAGCAGATACTGAAATGGCTGGCGTCATGTGAAGGCGCTTGAGCTGCCGGAGGATGTCGCGTCCGTCAGATCAGCGGAGCCGCTGTTCGAGAAAGTCGCGGCGCGCTCTCACCAGCAGACTCTTGATAGAGTTTTACAAGCGGCAATAGTCGGCTTTGGCTTCGGGCGTGCGGAGATCTCTCCAGGCTGAGGATGCCGCGTCACGCCCCGCTGTGGCCTCTCTCTGCTCAGAGTTGTTGGTTAGCTATGGACAGTCTGCTCGTCCAACCCTTCTACTTCAGACAGGGCAGCGACGGTCCGTGGATGCAGTCCAAGGTTTCATGAAATAGGTAACCATGTCATTGGTGTCATCGCCGTTGCATTTTACTATCCCAACAGAATTATGTAGATCAAAACACTTCAATGGCTCTTACACATTTCATCACATTTCGGTGTATGCCAGGGGCGGCGCAGCAAGAGAGGGGGGAGGGGGGGCGGGCAGGGAGGCACTGCTGTTCCCCCCCCCCCCCGCTGGCAGGCAGGGAGAGTATGTTTTTGCCTCTCAAAGTTTTGGGAGACCTATTTTTCCGAAGCGAAAGGGAAAAATAGGCCTCCCGAGAATTTACACTGTATATAATAGCTCCACAGAATTTACCAAAATTTACATCAATTTACATCAAGCATAAATGAACTAGAAAGTAGTAAAACTCAATCAGAAGACCCTTTCTTGCATCGGAAACACGTTTTCTGGATTATGAGGCTACCTTTATGAATTGGCTTGCACCTCATGCTCTAGACCAGAAGGTCCTGTTTGGCATTCGGGAGACGCTTTTGCTGGCTTGGAAGATTCCTTATGAACTAGGCAGCATTCATTCTAAAATAGGTGGCACCGTTCAAGCATCCTGTTCTAAACTACGAGGCGTTTTATGCATCAGGAGATACTTTCCTGGAACTGGAAATCCTGTTCTGGGGTAGGGTGTCCGTTCGTCGGATCCTTGTAACGGATTTTTAATGGTCAAAATGGCACAACCCCCGCCTCTTGAATATCACACTGCCCAGGGGATCAACCTGCGAGCACCCCATTTTGACTAAAATAGACCCCGAACATCCTATCCGACACAGCCATGTCTACAACACACCGTGCTCGGCAGACGCCGGCGTGGTGTCCGACTCGCCGTGGCCGTCGCTGCTGCTGCCGGCGCTGGAGGACCGCTGCCAGGTGGCAGCACTGTCGCCGCCCTCGGGCTGGCCGGCGGCGGCGCGGGCGCGTCTGCGGGCGGCGCTGCAGTGTCCGGAGCGGTGCGCACCGGGCGGCCGCTGTCGCCGCGGTCGCTGCCTCTGCTGGCCCGGCTACAGCGGCTACATGTGCCATCGGCGGCCAGGTACGGCCGCGGACGGCTGGACGCCGGGCGACGCACGGGCGGCGGCCCTGCTCGGCACGAGCTGGTCTTTGATGGCGGGAGCTCCTCTGGGGAGCACACTCAAAACAGAACGAGCCAGTCCCGTGGGCCGAGCTTACCTACTGGGAACTTCTTAGAGCTAAATGTGGAAGCCGTGCACATTGAATGATCAGGTCCAGGCTACCAGTAGGGGTCCTGAGAGGGGTGTTTGATGTGCTGGGGACGATATGGCCCTCAGAAATGTTCCTGGTCGGAAAACACTTGTTTCAGGTTCACTGACAGTCGGTCTTGGAATGGCCTCAGGAGAGTAGATGGGCTTTGGGCTTGATCTAATCGGGCTTGGTCTAAGGAGTATCTCTAACGTAATATACAGGGGCTTGCATTAAATCCTTTTCGTTCGTCAATGGCCATTTCAGGGCCATCAGATGAAGGAGATTTATTGAGAATTGTGGAAAAAGAATTCGTTGGCGGTGGCATTCCGAAGGTGCATGACTATGATTAGTTCCAGAATTCAGGATGAAGTGTGATATGAATGAAAATATTGGTGCCTGTTCACTCTTGACGGTAGGTGAAGTTTGCCTTTAATTCGCAAGTGCCGACCTAGGGCTGTGTAAAAAGTCATGTCCTTCCTCGCCTCGTCAAGATTGCTTAGATCGGTGCTTGGTGATAACGCTGTCATTCCAGGAGCCCCGCCGCTGCTGACCTCCGTCGGTGAGTCGGGTCTGTGTGACCTGGCCAGCTCCTCGTGCGCCTCGGTTCCGGTTCGGGCACTCCATTTCCGGCCATCGGTCGGGCTCCGGTGCCGGGTGCAGCGGGGTGGCGACCGGCCGACGCTGGTTGCCCCTGCCACCTATCGGTCGGATGCAGAAGTACGGTGTCGTCTGCCGGCCGCCTTCCTGCAAACACTGCGCTATTCGGATCAGGTCGAGCCCTGGACCATCCAGGTGGGAGGTGGCGTCAGCTGGGCGTGTGTGAAGAGATCTGCCTGCTTCTGAGAGTGGAAATAAGGCTCAGTGAGTCACGTATCTGTAACTTGCTCCCAGCTCGTCAGCGCTTAACACGATTTTGATAATAAGTTACGGCGCTTTAGCTCAGTGCAGATGTGGTTGGATGCTGTGGCCTACGACGCCCTTCTCCAACAATTCCTAATGGTTGCATTGGCTCAGATAATTTGCCCCAAAACCAGCCAAGCAGTACAAGTGTAGCCACTGGAATGCCTCTACCATGCGGACGGACGACCAACAACTACGGATCCGGACGAGGACGGAAACGGCAGACGACCTTCTATTTATCGACAGAATACAGTGGCACTGAATACCCGTACGTGTATGACCGGTATCGCCGTTCCTAATTCCCTGGATATGCGGCCAAGGTGTCTTACAACGGTATGAACTGGAGCAAGTCGATTGACCTGACCTTGTACAACGGCGCTTGCCTGCTCTGCCGCGCCGGACAGACCAACGTCACGTGCCGCGCGGCAGACGGCTGCTGCGTTATCGCCGGTGAGGCGAGAGGCTGGCGCAGCGCCACGCTGATGGTCGGTCGGTGACTGTAGCTGGAAGGTGTGTCGCGTTAAAAGCCAGATTTGCTAGTTTTTGTCACACGGGTTGCATTTACCAAGCACTACCACCATTACCACCAAACACTTTTTTTCCTTTTGCGTTTTCATGACATTGCATATGGGTTGCATTCTTAAATAGGCTGCAAGTAAGGTGTTTATTCGGATTGCTGCTAAGCGTAGCTTGAACTGCTATCTGGGCACCTTGAGCTGCTATCTGGGACTGCTGGCCAACTGTAGTTCTACGGGCGATTTTTGACGATCGATTTTAGTGTGCCACGCACTGGTGTGGCAAGACCGTCCCTGATTTAACCTAGCTCTCTTGGCTACTTGCCAAATAGCAGTCACCAACGAGTTTCGTTACCAAACTTACGAGTCACCTTGCTGAATCGATGAGCCACATCACTGAACCGACGGGTCACATCACCATACCGACGAGTGATGCAAACCCACAGCTGGCCGCGGGTCGGTTAGTAGCCTACTCTTTACCAGCCCACCTGCTGTACAGTAAAATTCAGCCAAGTTGCCGTCGCCGCAGGCGTGGCCTGCACGCAGCGCATATGTCCAGGGTGGTGTACAAAATAGACTAAGGCTTCAGGGCAGGACGTCTGCAGCCAGGCAACATTGCTGCCGTTGTTCTGTTCTCGACCAACACTCACGCTTGTCGTACGCCAAGGGGAGACACGGGGGCAGACGAGCATGCCATTTGACCGCGCCGCGCGCCAGTGTTACCGCACGCTCTGCCGCCAGGTCGCTGTTACCGATCCGGAGATACGAACCCGAAGGACCCGTGCCTCTACTGCGGCTCCAGTCGGAGTCGGTGGACGGCCAGAGACGGTGAGGACCAGAACAGCGTTGCCGATATGCCGGCATGCAAGCACACGAAGGACAAGCCAAGTGCATCTATGCTATGTCTAATGGACATGACACCTGTGCGAATTCGGGCGTAACGCGCATGCTTCTATGTGTAGTGATGAGCGCCTTACGCTCAATTATCCAAAATTAGGTCGATGGTAAACGTCGCTGACGTTAGGAGAGCACAATACAAAAGTTCGAATTCATTGCCAACGCACTTGTGCTCCACCCATAGGCCAGCAGCTATCTGGAGACTTTCTCTTGCCATCACCTAGTCCGTCAGCCGAACAGGTTTTCAGCTGGGCAGGTTATCAGCTGGACAAGTTATCTGGAGACTTTCTCTCACCATCCCCTAGTCCGTCAGCCGGATAGGTTATCAACTGGGCAGATTATCTGGAGACTTTCTCTCGCGAGCACCGAGTTCGTCAGCCGGACAAGTTATCAGCTGGACAGGTTATCGAGACGGCGTCACATGAAGGGTGAGTCGTCAACATCACGGACTGGGCGGATGACTGGTGCTTATCTCACGAGTCCGGATGGACTCCAGAGCGGCTGACCAGAGGCCGCCCCTGCAGGTGCTGACTGCGCCGCCCCCAGCCCACCAGTCACGTGCCAGACGGCCGGCTGCCGGCACGGCATTTGCGTCGACGACAGCGGTGGCGCCATCTGCGTCTGCAACCGCGGCTACATCGGCGCGCGCTGCCAGGTCAGGTCATACCGCGGTTTTGCTGGCATAGACTAGGGAACCATCGAGGAGAGGACAGAAAGCTTCCGTCAATAACCGCAGCGGTGCCCAGTCTCTGAAGCTGAGCTACGAGGTCGCTTTAGTTGTGATGCGCCAGAATATGTTATGGCGCAAAACAAGACATCGGGGTCATTCGTGAGCCCGTTTTGGCGCCTCTGCAGTGGTTAGGTTGTCTGTGGTACAGGAAAAGATTTGAGCTTTGTGCAGATCACGCATGACGCATGACCAGTGCTTGGTGCGGATTAATACGCCCATGCCTTAACGCTTGCTCCTTTTGGAAATGACCCCTCATCAATCACGAGGGAAGTTTCTAACGGGTTAGCAAAAACTTGAGAAATCTACCGATATTGACTTGAGCTCTTATCTCTTCCATTTTTCCCTCAAGATGCCCTTGAAAATTACTTCTTGTGTTTTTTCCTTCCCTCGCGGAGTAGGCATCCACGTAATATTTCTGTAGCGAATGAAGAAACTGGCACCGAGCGGTTGCGCATGCCATCCGTTGCATGTAACCGACGAATGCGGTGACCGCTGCCGTTTTGCGCCAGGTGCCAGAGGATATTACCGACCTGAATGTGATGGAGGAGACGGGCGACGAGATGCTGTATGGACTTCCCGGTGACCCGCTGGAGCGTCGATGAGGACAGCAGGCCGTGTTGTTGAGCCCTTAACACACGTCCGTCAACCGTGTCCCGGCGAGTGCCGGTGCTGGCTTACCCGGGGAGCGCACACTCACTGGGCGGAAGGCCGCAGATCATTGGAAATGTGGCCAAACGTGGTCGAAGGCGTCAGTTGGTGTTAAGCGCCAGGGATCATCCAGTCGTTCGCGATGGTCCTCCGCGCAGGCGTCCCCCCGCCGCCGTCCGGCAGCGCTGGGACGTGACCGTCGCGTTGTTGCGGTGAGCACATCGTCTGAGGCGGGGCGCACAAGCGCGGCCGGCGCCAGCGTCCAATTCCCTCCCCTTCTGGAGCGGATGGGCGGGACGGCGGGCGGACGGGACCGGCCGAGAGCGTTGCTATCGGAGAGCACGGAGGGGCAGCACTGGCACGTGCGCCTCACAGGCGCCAGTGACATGAGCACGCCAATGTGGGCAGCGTGATGACTAACAGACTGGCCGGCGTCATCAGCGCTGCTGCTCTGGCGGAGACGTCAATGGAAGGGGGCGCTGCTTGCTTCAGTCGGCAAGCGTTCAGCCGCCTCTGGCCATCCACTGCTTCTCCCTTCTGTTGGTGCGGCGATAACGCACGTCGTGCTCGCAGTGGTATATTTACATACAAAACACGGATAACTGTCTAGACAGCAGCACGTGTGTGTCATGGCTCCGAGGACTGTTGTACACGCGAGACGTACAAATAAACGCGGCGGCGTGTCGCGTGTTCCATTTTTCCGTTGCCGGCGAAATGTGAAACATAGTTTTACTAGTTGCACATACCTGTCCACCGAATTATCCGGGCTCGTAGAGAGCCGCGGAGACACAGACAAAATGAGAGTTAGTTGCGGGAGACGAACAAACCAGAAGACGCTGCGGCCAGCACGGCTCAGCGAATACACGCCCCAGCTCCCAGATATATAAAGTATTTCGCCTTAGAAATAGCTCAAAAGCTGCGCAGAAGCCAAGCGGAAACGTCCGAGACGACCTTTCTTGTCCGTACCTTTCCACTAAATGGGTTACAAAATGAGCGCAAACAAAATTATAGTAGAAAATAAAGCGCACTGAATCTTTGATTTCATATCATCCTGGCAGGAACACCGCAACGCCGTCAGTCACACAAGCATGGACTTTGATCTGAGGCCGCTTTGCTCGTGATAGCTAGCGTGCTATTATTACAAGCGTCGCCAATGGCACACCACCACGAACCTAACGGACTCGAACTGCTAACATCTTGTGTCTCGTACGAGAGAAAGCGCACATGACGTCACGACCAATGCACTTTCTAAGTACATCGATGGACTGCATCAGGTTTCAGCTGCGCGGCAAACAGCGTTCAACAGTCCCCCTTCAAAAATATCATTCGTTTATCGCAACAGCCGTGCCGACGTGCTACCTTGGCCCGACGGAAGACAGATGTGCAAACCAAGGACACAACCAAGCGCGCCGGAGGCAGAGCGCAGCACGCCTATGGCTGCCTCGCTGTTGCTCCTGCCATCGGGGCATGACTATTGAGGGCTGGCTGAGCCTTGCCGGCCCTCGGTGATCTAGCACAAGGTTCTCGACGCCGAGGCGGAACCAGGCCTCGCTAGCACGTCGTCTGGCTCCGCTAGCTCGTCGTCTGGCTCCGCTAGCTCGTCACCCGGTTCTGCTAGCACGTCGTCAGGCTAGCTGTCGGTCTAATTGAACTGCTGCAGCACACTCTTCACCCTGCCAAGACGGAGCCCACGGTGAGCAGCATACATCGTGGGACGGAGCCGGAATACAGCGCGGAAGACGAAGAGAAGACGGTGCGAAACAGTCAACTAGAAACAGAATATCTGGCCTCCCCTCAAATAAGTGCTGGATGCCCACCATCAGCAGCGCGTACTTAATGTGGGCTTCACAGAGTTCCTCGCGGCTGTGTCACACATTACCCATGCGAAACACGTCTGACAGAGCGCTGTCATCCCGGACATTGTCAAAACCAGCTCTACCAATGCATCGCCCACCACCTCCACAACCAACCGCATCCCAGAACGCCGCACGGACGGCGGCATCTAGTCCCAGACGTCTCGCACCGGACCGCTCCGAGGCCGTCTCGAGCGTCCCCTCCCCGCCGGCGCCGACGAGGGGCGTGCCTGGCCACACACCTCTCGTAGAGCGCAGCATCCTCCGTGTGCTGCAGCTGCTGCAGCAGCTTGTAGACGCCCATGCGGCGCAGGCGGGCCTGCCGCTCGCGCGAGCCGTCGTCGCAGCGCCACACCAGGTTGTTGACGGCGAACACGGCCGCCACCCGCAGCCGAACGCTCGAGTGCATCTGATGGCGGCGAGCGCGCAGGGCGTACAGCACAGGCGCGACACGACGGCGGCGAGCGCGCCGGGCGTACAGCACAGGCGCAACACGACGGCGCTGCCAGATGGTGCTGGGGCTGTTCAAGTGCATACGTATACCATGGGGAATACGAATTGACATCACATAATTCTTCAAAATTGAGCGTAAATACTATATAATCACAAACGACAGCACACAAACGTAGACACCCTGGGGGTGTCTACGTTGGCATCAAAAGATTGGCAACAGCCACAGTTTCAAACCTGGATCTGCTGTGCCTTCCTTTCCCCGCCACCTCATATGGATCAGACTATGTGCTTCTGGTGGCGCACCCATCGCGAAAGAAATGGTGCAATTCTGATAACAGCTCAGCTTCCCGTCTTACCATGTAGTTCATCAGCTTCTTTAGCACGTCCTCGTTGCCCATGATGAACTCCTTGGACTTAGATCCGTCGGCGATATTGGCCAAGATACAGATGGCCTGCTCCTTGACCTCGGCCGGGTGGTCGCTCTCCAAGGTCAACACGATCGCCTGCCGGTCACCCGAGGTCACAGGGGTCAGCAGAGGTCAGACGGCACCCGGCCACAAGGGTCGAGAGCTGGCTTAATCCACATCCCACCAAAACACGGAAGGACTTCACTGAGCGTGGAAACGTTGTCTCCGTCCGTCACCTGAGCAGTTTGCCGACGTAACCTGGCCGGTGCGGGCCGACCGGTCACGTCTGGCAGCAGTGAGACCTGCCGACCTGAAGTGAGCCCCCTGAGACCCGGACCCTGGCGCTGCCGCCGTCGACGCGGCCGCGTGCTCGGGTCCGGCGCAGGGCCGCCCCGCGCCTCCGGTCGGCAGGACTCTTCACGGACCAGACAGTCCCCACCACAGCGGGCAACCCACCCGGCCCCTCTCCCGCACCTCCCGGCCCGCTGACCGGGTCCGGCGCAGGGCCGTCCCGCGCCTCCGGTCGGCAGGACTCTCCACGGGCCAGACAGTCCCCACCACAGCGGACATCCCACCCGGCCCCTCTCCCGCACCTCCCGGCCCGCTGACCGGGTCCGGCACAGGGCCGCCCCTGGCCTCTGGCCCCGTGCCTCGCCGGCCGCGCCAGCCGCTACCGCCTCACCTGCATGACCTGCGGGCCGTGGCTGTCGTCCATGAACTGGTCGACGTGCGGCTTGGTCAGAAGGTTGCGCAGCAGGCCGAGCGTCTTCATCAGGATGGCCGTGCTCGGGTCGGACAGCAGCCGGAACAGCTCGTTGGTGCCTAGCCGGCGCAGGATCAGCCGCTTGATCTTGTGGTCTGCCTGGTACGCCATGTTCTGCGGGCGGCGCCGGGCGGGGCGGCCCGTCAGCAGCGGCTCACCGCACTCTGGTCATGGCTGGATCGGGCACAGGAGTTACCCCCATCCCCACTGTGGCGTACAGACAAGCACAGCAGCGCGCGAGGTCATGGTCGGCGCCGGATCAGTACTAGAACGGCGAGCCTCAGAGTCCCAACGCCGAAAAGGCTCGCTTGCGGAGACTCCGATATAATGATATCATAGACAACTGTCTTGCGACAAACAAGTTTTCAAACAATTCAATGCACACGGGTGATAAACGGGAAGTAACGACGACTACCGGCTCCACTAGATCGACCTTCGTTTAGAGCCCAACACCGCATGGACAGGGTGCGGCAGTGTTGAGCCCACCGGCTCATCAGTCAGGCCAGCGGGGCCAGAAGTCAGCACTGAGAGCCCAGCGGCCGGTTCGCCGGCAGGGAACCATCACGGCACTGACAGCCCCGCAGCGTGGCCCGCCTGCACAGCCGGCCCACACAACACAGCATGTCTGTGGTCCGCCCACACCCGTCCGCCTGCCCCAGCCAGCACCCCAATCGTCTGTCACGGCCCGCAGCCCGACGGTCCCTCAAC